TCTCGCCACATGCAATCTAGGTCCACCTTGACATCGTCTCCATCTCCTGCAGCAACCACCCCTGCGTCTTCAGGGGGGTCGCCTTCGGCTGCCCCTCCTTCTGCGCCTGCTGTGATCGCCATCCCGGACGCCAGCATGCTTGCTGGTCCTTTGGCACCTGCTGTGATCACCATCCCGGATACCAGTACGCATGCTGCCTGTGCATCTTCAAAAGCTTGCCGGCCCCTGTAACAACCAGCAGCCTGCCAGGCCCAAGCTTGCCGGCCCCTCAGCCCTACTCCTACAGCGCACCCAAGCCCAATCACCCCGGCTTTTGTGGCAACCAGCAGCCCTGCTCCCACAGTGCACCCAAGCCCGATCACCACACCAAGCCCAAGCCCGCCAGCTCCTGTGGCAACTACACCCAATGCCCCTTACGCCATCCCTGCCACCGCAGCCCCAAGCCCGACGGCATGTGGCAACTGTGCCACCTACCAGCCCTGCACCGACCCCGCCCATGCCCGCACCTGCACCACCAATGCCGCCCGCTGCAGCCCCTGCAACAACTGCAGCCTCTATACACACACTGCCCGCGGCCCCGGTGGCATCCACTGCTGCCTCTGTTGCGGAGGCCCCTGTGCCGCCCAGCGCCCCAGCTGCAAGCCCAAGCCAACACCAGGTGCCGAAAGCAAGCCCACCCATGCTTTGCCCTGAAGCAGCTGCGCCGCAAGCCAGTGCGCCGCCCAGTGCCCCCGCCACTAAGGCGCAAATGCCTCCGCCTGTTGCCATTCCGGCGAAGGTCAACTCGAACACACATCCCGCGGAGCTCAAGAAGCCGGAGCATTTTGTGAACTCCCATCCTGCTGCTGTGGAGCTTAAGAAAGCATGGTATCAGGGTGGCAAGGCAAGGGCTGCCGTTATGAGAGACTATGTCCGCAGCGGCAGCGCAGAAGCCGTGGAGGCAGCAATGCAGTTCAAGAAGATCAAAGAAGAGGAAGACAAAGACAGCGGGGAGTATTGGGTGTGGAAAGATGTTCTTGCTGCCTTCAACGGACACCATGCTGGAGCCAATGCCTTTGTGGCAAGGCGTCGCTGCGAAGCGTCTGGGACTGGGGTCGGGGCCGGGGTTCGGGGTCATGGCGGGCATGTCAACCAGTATGAAATTTATAATCGAGTCATATACATATATATATATAAATGTATATACATAGATCATATTCATGTATGTTGTTGTTATCATGTGCATTCAACACATTGCTCATCAAGCGTGTTGCTACCTGTGCACTTTAGCCCCGAATAGCGACTCAAAGGACTCGATCTGCTCATGACTCGCTTCATGTGGTTCTTCGTTTCAGGACATCGCACGACCGCAACACCGGCGAAGAGACGTTCTTGTACTACGGCAGGCAGAAGAAGACGTGGACAACACAAAGGCTTGTCCCTGGGCGGCACATGAGGTTGCTGTGGAAGTGCACGAATTGCCGTTGCAGATATGTCCATGAGATTCACTGTTCATTGATGTGGTATTGAAGCGCCCTGCGCTACAAGGACACCATCGTGGCGGATTTGGGGGCTGACGGTGGCCGATCTCCTTGCTGGCGAACCCACAGCCCCTGTAAGAGGAGCTCTCCCCTTGGCTGGCTCTCCCATGCCAGAAGCCAATGGCGGTTCTGGCGATGACCCCAAGCCCAAGGCAAAGGCCAAGGCGAAGGCGAAGGCCAAGCCGAAGGCCCCGTCAATGCAGTCCAGGGGAATGGCGCATGTTTGGTTGTGTTGACATGCTCCAAACCAATATCCTATATGCCGCATTTTGTGCATGCACAGTTTGCATTACCCTTCGGGTTGTTGCTCTTGTGTTACTCATGTTTGTGTTGACACATGTCACATAACAGGGATATATTGCATGTGTCCTTTCAAACCTCACGCGGATCAGTGCCGTGCACATGTTCTAAAACATTTAACCCGTCGCAGGGCTCCGAGCTTGAGTGCGAGATCCTGATGGAGGACGATGTCTGCGAAGCATGGATTCGCAAAGCTGCAGATGCTCAAGGGCACTGTGCCACAGTGGCCGCGCAGCCACTTTGCTGGTGTGGGAAACATGTGTGATTGAACATCATGCAAGTTGTTTCGTCATGTGAGCATGTGTTACACGTGTACTTAGGCTGGAGCCCTTGGAAAGCCAAGAACAGCTGGCTTCTTTGATCAAGTCCTCTGCGGAGGGCCTGGCGGGCTGCAGGAAGGAGATGATCGCGATCCTCAAGCCAGGCACCACTGCGCAGCAGATTCAGCCAACTCTGGACAAGGTGTGGCTCCATCGATCATTCATGTGAGGGTTTCATCCTCTGTGTGTGCTTATTTTGGGGGGATCCGCGACGTGACCCTGACAGGCAAAAACATTTGTGACCAGCTTCAAGAAGCACACCCGCACTGCGAACAATTTGCGACTTGTCCGTACGTATGTGTGTGTGCGCGCGCGCCTTTTTTTCATGTTCAGGCAACGGTTGAAACTTGTTGGTTGCAAAAATGGCACGGGTCATGTCAATCTGCATGGGTGTGTGGTTTCACAAATGTGTCATGTGTCTGTTGCAGAGCAATGATTCATCCTTTTGTCAGGATCGCTGCAGCCACGCGCGAATCTGAGGGAGGTGCAGCACGGCCCAAAAAGAAGGCCAGACAGACTCAGTAGGTCAGTCGCTTGCAAATCATGCAAGCCGGGTTCCTTTGGCGTGCATGCACATGCAGCCTATAGGATGCGGGGTTTCCATATGATCATTCCACTGCATGGGGAGCGGCAACCGCCTTGTTTGGTTTGAGGGTGCTGTGATGTGTCGCTGTCAACCGAAACTCAGAAAACAATCAGGCTTGCCACTTGTGAGTTTCGAAATGCAAGGCGCTGCTTGGACCCTCATGCATGAATGCGCACATATGGCAGGTTGTGGTTCGCCTGTGTCAATGTGTGTATACGTGACCCACTTGCATCAACACAGGTTCTGCATCCTACTTATGCGTGCTTTGAGGGCATTTGTGGGCAAACCGCACTGCGCAACATCTCAAAACATGGAGTGATTACCACACAGTGTGCCGTGCATCATGGACATTGATGGATGCGAAAAAAAGGGCATTGACCTTTCAGCCGGTTGCCAACCATTACTCTTTCCATTTCCTTCATGTGTCTTATTGGCTGGTTCCAGAGCTGTCACAGAGAAGCGAACCAGCATTCACAATGAGATGCTACCGCCATTGACGGGAAGGAAAGGGACGGTGTAACCTCATTCCTCATCTCTTCGTCATAGCGGTTAACCTCATCCCTTCACCCCTTCCTTCCTGTCACTTCCCTGTAATTCCAGTGACGAAGGAACGGGTTTCAAAGCCTTCTATCTTAGACAGATTCTCTTTCCTCGCGGTTCCACATCATTCACGAAGGAACCGCATCCAGATGAGAGGGAAGTGATGGATGAGTGGGGAGTGAGATGGAAAGGCTTGGACACACAGCCTCATCTCCCTCCATCACCCACTCATTCCTTTCCCGGCCTTTTTCATCTCTAGATGAGGCCGTGGGAAAGAGAATTAGAATCAAGAATCCAGATGACACGAAGGAATGGGTTCTGAATGGTAAACAGGACCTTATCATAGCCAATTAATGCCTTTCATCTCTCTCATTCTTGTTCCACATCCTAAAGTAATTTGTAGATGGATGTGGGAATGAGAGAAGGGAAAGGGAAAGATGTCACTCACGGTCAGGTCTATGATCAGAGGACAAGGATATGATTGTAAATGAGATTTCATTAGTAATACAAAATAAATATTCAACATGAGAATAATAGATTTGTCTGAGGCACGAAGGAAGCTATTATTTTCATGTCTTTCCTTTCTTATCATCTCCTTTTCATTTGTTGAGATTAGTTAAGAGAAAGGAGATGATAAAAGAGAAAGGAAGGGACAGGCCAGGCATCTCCGGTCACATTCTTATTAACCTACCATCATTCACGGCCTGGCCTCTCTATCACCTCTTTACCACCCACCGCTCACTTCGTTCTCATGTTGGGTCACTTTGGGATGTAGAATGAAAGGATATGAAGCGGTGGGAGATGAAGGTTGGTCTACAGGAAATCCCTCCCTTTCATCTCTCTATCCTTTCTGTAGCCACCAAATAACCTCCAATATTGACAAACAGGATAATGAATCAGGTGGCTACATCAGGGAAAGGTAATTAGAATCCAGAAAGAGATGTAGAATGTAGACTAAGAACCCATCCAAATAAGACCCTGAAAGATAGGCAATATTAACCAGAATGAGATTTGGATGGGTTGTTGGGTCTAAAAGCTATTTCTCTTCTCTCCGCTGTCTCTCGGTTTCACCCATCACCAGCTATTTACTTTCATAATCTCAGGAACGAACGGAGTGGGAAGTGAGTGAGATGTCGTGAGTTGGCTATTACCGTTCCCTTCCATCGCCTCCGCTCCAGTTCTCTCCCTTGCCTCGTCTCTCGGCTTCTGGAGTTCCTGTCACTATGAAAGACTCACGATGGAACGGTGAAGTGATAGCGTGAGGATAGGTGACAGGAAGGACAGGGATGTGATGGCAGCTGAGAGAAGACTCGCCATCCCTTTCCCTTTATCCCTCACCCTTTCTCACCTCTTAATCACATCCTAGATACAGAGGTGAAAGGGAATGAGGGCTTGATGAAAGGGAAATGAATGCCTCTCACTCACCCACAAACCCAGCCAAGAAGCGAGTGAATTGGATGGGTGGGTGAGAGAGACCAAATGATTTCCGTTCCCTGCATAAGTATTTTTTATGAGCGCACTTTTTAGTAGCATAAGTAACATAACTGGAAAAGGGCACTCTAGTGGGGTCTGTGTCGTAGGTGTGTGCGTGCGTGCGTGCGTGCGTGCGTGCGTGCGGGGTGGGTGTGTGTGTGTGTGTGGGTGGGTGGGTGGGTGGGTGGGTGGGTGGGTGGGTGAGTGGGTGGGGTATGGAGAACCCCACTTCACCTGCAGTGTGAGTTCTGCCACCCTGGCCTGTGCCCACAAAGCGATTATTGATGGTGTTGTGCAGGGCAATCTGTCCGTTGCCAGCGTCAACCACCGTGAATCTCTGATGGGTCCACCAATCGAGAATACCATTCTCATTCTCGGGCGGGCTGGGATAGAGAGTGAAGTCCGCCAGGGAGAGGTATCGGTTCCATGCCTTGTTGTGCAGGGCTATCACAGAGCCTGGCCTCAGGGGAACCCCGTTTGCCCGCCCCATGTCTTGGGTGGAGAAATCCTGCAGCGCAGCAATCGCCTTCTCCTTGCTCTCCAGCGAGATGAAGGGCAAAGACGCCAGGAGCACGGAGAATTGGTCAGCGATGTTGATCAGGGGAATCCTCTGAGCTGGGGATTTGAAATCCCCGAAGCCCATCTCGATGCCCATCTCGAGGCTGTTGCCCGCCATAAGCCCTTGGATCTTGAAGTTGGTCATCCCCTCCTTCTGGAAGTTGAACAACTCGACGACGTCCTCCTTAGCCTCCTGAATGGCGCTCATGCGGCGAGCAGCATCTGCCCCTCGGAGCTCAGAGGTCTTCTTGGCCTCCATCTCCTCGTTGTAGTTGACGGACCCCAGATACAAATCCTCCACGTCGGTCTTCCAGTACAGCGACTCTGCTGTGCCGTTGCTTCGATTGCTCTCCATGAGAGACATCCCGGACATTCTACTGAAGGCCTCACCTTCGGATCCAGGTAGCCCAACTACATGCTTCCAGGTTTGGTAGCTATCCTCCACGTTGGCCTTGACGAAGTCCGTGCTCTGGCCAAAGCGCTTCGCCAAGCGCAGCGTCCGGCTGAACACAAGGTTCCCTGCGCTCTTGATCTCCGAGCGGAGGATCGACAGGTCCAAGCCACCGGGCATCTCGTTTGGCCAGCACGCCGTTGTCGCCAACTCAAAGAGCGGCGCGGGTAGGAGTTCAAATTCCAAGCCCCCCACAAAGGCCACAACTGGCTGCATGCCCATCGAAAAGGTTATAGTCAAGCACTTCTCAACGGGCAATGACGCAGTGTAGAAGGAATAGCCCTGCCACTTGTTCCAGTTGTCCTTCATCCAAGCATTGTCGCAAGGCACAGCCCAGGGCTCCAGTTGGATGAAGTTCTCCTTGCTGGGCTCCGTCCAGTCACTTTTCGTCGCCTCTTGATGGTTGGCCACGTGGGCTCCGTTCTTGTTTCTTGGGGCAAAGGCCAGGCAGGAACCAGTGTCCACCTCGCGGCCATCGAACTGGGTGACCAAGGGACTGGCATGGACATCCTGGCCGTCATTGAACTGGTAGCCCACCGCTCCAGATGGGTCATCCTGCAGGAGTGATGCATCGAGGTGCTGGGAGTGGGACTCAATGAGGAGGTTCTTGTCCTTGTGGTGCACCATCCTTTCCCCCACTGCAGGGAACTTCGAGGTGCTGGCCTTCTGCAGCAAAGATGCGCTGCCGTGCAAGGCCTTCTTCACCACCTGGGGCAATCACACGCCGACTTTTCGGAGCCACAACAAACATCCTTCGCAATCCGACAACAAATAACCTGAGTGACCAAAGCCACGTGCCGCGCCTGCGTGGCCACCCTTGCGAAGGTCATAATCGTCTCAGTGAGCACCTCCTTCATGCGGCCCAGGAAGTTCAAGGGAGGCACTGCCGAGATGATCTTCAAGCCCAGACACTTGGTGAGCTCCACAGATGAGTGGATGTTGGCGCAATCCATCAGGTCATTCCCCATGGTGAGCCAAGTCGTCACTGCATTCATGGGTGTGCTGGCGATGCTTTTCACTTGCTGGGGCAGCCAATTCAGCGGGGGCTCAAACTCCATGACAGAACTCGCCACGCGCTTGGCCATGCAGTGGAAAGCGTCGGCTCTGGTGCAACCGGGAGTGTCCAAGAGACCATAACTCATGCCCAGGAGGTGCTGAACGATTTCACTGCTTTGTTGTCCAAGGGTTTTCACTGACGCTGGCAGCCCAAACTCCATGACAGAACTCGCCACGCGCTTGGCCATGCAATGGAAAGCGTCGGCTCTGGTGCAACCGGGAGTGTTCAAGAGACCATAACTCATGCCCAGGAGGTGCTCAACGATTTCACTGCTTTGTTGTCCAAGGGTTTTCACTGACGCTGGCAGCCCAAACTCCATGACAGAACTCGCCACGCGCTTGGCCATGCAATGGAAAGCGTCGGCTCTGGTGCAACCGGGGGTGTTCAAGAGAACATAACTCATGCCCAGGAGGTGCTGAACGATTTCACTGCTTTCGCCTGCAAGGGTTCTCACTGACGAGGTCGCTGGCAGCCAGTCCAAAGGACTGGGAAATGCTATGTCCTGATGACCAAATTTCCAGTTGAAAAGCTCCACCTCTTTGCCCACCAGGGTGACCGAGCAGGACTGGGTGCCGAAGTTAATCCGAAGTGTCTGGCCGGTGAGCTGGGCGTCCGGCGGCGACATCGAGCAATTGTCCTTGAACTCGAAGCCTTTGTAGTTCCTTGGTTGCCGTTGGTCCTCAAACAGTCGAGAAAAAACATCTCAACCAAGGAGACGGTCTAAAACTCGTGGCTTTTCGCGGCAACCTCATGAAAACCCGACTGGAAAGCGATGAACGACCGGATGGGAGAGCCGGGTTCTCCGGAGAACCAAGACTCTGCAAGATCGTGGTCGCCTTCTCCACCGTATCGATGACGGTGTTCTGGATGAACTCCACTGCCTTGCCCTGAGCATGGACCTGTCAAAATCGCCAATCGGTTTGATAGGCGAAGGAGTTTGTTTGACTTGCTGGTGCGAGAGATGCAGGGAATGAAACGTGGAATGAACCCAGGCTTTGGTCCCCTTGAAGGAAACCACTAGTTGGATGGTTTATAAGGGTCATTCCAACTCATTCCCTACTTGCGGGGAAGGACTTGGGATTGTTGCGATCGCTGTGAGAGAAATGGAACCAAGAAGAGCCATCCAGCTGGCGGGTGGTTTCCTGACCCCGAAACAGTTCATTCAACCACATTCCCTAGCACCAAAATAGAGTACCCCCAAAATGGCTTCTGATCGGTGCACGGAAACAAGTTGACTATAACCTGCGGTCCATGGTGAACAACGTTTTTGACCCGTATACCCACCTGGTTGAAAGCATCCTTCAAGCTTTCCCCCGTCAGGCCAGTGCCGTCCACCTTCTCCACAGCGGTCTCCACAGCCTTTTCCGCAGCCTTTTCCGCTTCCGAGACAAGGGGGATCTTTCTGGACACACTGGAGTCCAGGGACCGTTGCTCGCTCTTCTCTCCTTGCCGCTGCAGCAAAGCCGCCTTCTCACCCTCCGGAGCCTTCTGAGCCTCCGCGGCGTTGTCTGCGGCCTTCTCGTGGTACTTGCGGGTCTCACGCTGGCGGTGGTGCTTCAACAAGACTCGCTTCAGAACGTCGTGGGCATCCTGCACTTTGACCTCCGAGCGTTGTGCCAAGGACACCTGCATCTTCAAACCCAGGTGCTTCTTCACAGACTCGAGCTCGCCTTGCTGGCGGTCAAGTTCGCCTTGTTGGGCTGTGAGTTCTGCCTGCTGCAACTCCACCAAAGTCTCAAGCTGCGCCACCTTCACCATCAGGAACTCCAAATTCTTGGCCAAACCACCCAGTCCACCCGTGGCATTCGTGTGGTTTTCGGGGCCTTTCATGGCATTCACTTCATCGGCATCATGCAAAAGGTTCTTGCCCATGAGATCCCCAATCGCTTCCGCCGCCGTCCTGTTGGCATTGGTGATGTTGATGGGGGCCTCTGCCAGCTTGTAGGACAGGCTGGGAAGAAACAGGAAGGCCGTGATCCAACTTGCCAGGATATAGCCTGCCATCACACGGCCCTCGATGCCTCGGTGTTGCTTCGTTAAATGTATCGTTGGTTGGGAGCCGTCGTAACAGCTGGATAAGGCGGCGGGACACGTGCCACGTTCCGCACATGCAAGGAACCACGCTGGTCCGGATGCTTGCATACAAGTTGCCATTAAAGCAAATCACATGCGAAGCACAAACTCTGGCATGCGGTGCGTGTCAATAACGCCAAAACTGTGAATGAATGGTCTGCGCACTCCAAGTTTTGCAACACATTAAATCTCAGGCATATAGTTGACTTCATGCAATGTTTATCTCATGTCTGGCCCATGCAAATATCCCACCTACTTCCTGGGCGGTTGCAATACCCACCCCATCCCCAAAAGAATTCTTGGTTTCCTCGATGGTGGTGTAATTAAAAAATATTGACGTGATATTTCTTTATATAAAATTCTACTTTTACAACTGTTCAATCGCAATTAATTCCAGAACTGATTCGCTAATCACGTGTACAAATACTTCGCGGACATCTTCATCAGTTGTTAGTGCTCTGTTAGTCCCTTTCAATTTAAAAACGAGTAAGCCGCCCATCTTGGTGTTCTGTCCAGTGAAATTGGTATCGCTCATTTTATCGAATGGTACACCACTAACAAATTTATCTTCTCTAAAGCGCTTGTAGGAAATGCTAAAGGCATCTTGGTCAGGGCTCAAATAGTGTGATGTTCGTCTTAAATAATATGTGGTTCTGCCATTGATTGACATTCAAACTCTGGATATTTCTTGTTGTTGATTTGTAATTGCCAAGTTAAATTTAAGTCTTTATCTTGAAAGCCTTTACCTTGGAAACGCTCACGGCCAGCACCATCAGGGTCAGTGCCATGAAAAATACTAGTTAATCATAGGATTATAAAATAATTCGCCGTTTGTTGTCGTGTCGTAATAGTTGGCGTCGTCAACATCAACTCCAGTTCTTGGTGTGCGATACAATGTAATGAAACAACCAGTTAATTTGGAAGCGGATTTAACAAAGTTCATATAGATTTGAGTTCCTGCCGCGTTGAATGATTGTGTCATAGTGTGGTACATCGGAAATACTAATTTTGAACTTTGACCTTCTAACCTATGTTTCACTACATTATTATTGACTGTGTTGTCCAATTGAAATACCTCGGCTCGTAGAATTACGTTGTTCAATGAACTTTCAAAACGTTCGGAACATCACAATGAATCAACCTTTTGTTTTCGACCAGTCCCGCAGCTGAGCCCCAGGCTCTCCACAACATCTCATGGACCTCGAAGCGCGTGCCTACCGCGTGATAGTTGGTTGCCTACCACGGGAACTGGAAGCTCTTGCTATGAGTTCTTTGATTTGGGGACCCATCATTTAGGTGGGAATTATGTCCACGAACCATGCTTCAGCTGGAAATCCCATGTCTTCAAGAGAAGAGGAAGTGAAAAAGAAATAGAAACAGAAGGAGACAAAGGGAGAAAGAAAGGGCGACAAAATTGAGAAGTAACAAGATAACTATAGTTCTTATATTTTTCAGATTCTTTGCCAGCTCTACCGGTAGCGTAAACAAATGGCTACAACTGGGGTCTGAAAAGGCTGTGGAAACGGTTACGCGCACATGAATTTTAAAGGAAAGTCTGGAAGCCACTGATAACCATGGCAATTGAGGCACCGGTACTCAGATAGAGGATAAGCCCCCACGTGCGGCGCGGTAAAAAGAATGCTCTTATGAGGCAGTAGCGGCAATGCAGAGGATGCTACGATGATAGTTATCATGACCGTTATCATCCTTATCATCATCCGCATGGTCATCATCATCACTCTGATCATCATCATGGTGGTTACCATCACCCTTCATCACCGGGAGCAGGCGGCGCAGCTTTCAGCATGTTCTCCACCAAGTCGACCAGCGCCAAGCCACTAAACCGGTAAATTTTGCGAGGGCTGGCCGGGGCAAGCCACCTGGCCGTTCCAGCGCGCAAGCGTGTTTGACAAATAAACCCTTGAATCTACATTCGAACTAGTTTATTGTCTTTTTTCTTCTTGATTTTCTTGTTTACACGCAACAATGACTTCCGTGCCCTGCGTCTTCCCCTCAGCCTCCCCTAAAACATCTCTCTTGCGTTCAACTAAAACGGATAAGCCTTTAATGTTCGAGCCCGCAGTTTCCCTCTCCCAGGCCCTGTCCCTCATAGGCACGTGAATTTCCTCTCCCTTTCAAGCATTGTTTCTAATGCAACTTTGTCTGAACTGTCTCCCTCTCGTTGTCCCCCATTTTCTCTTCAGCTGGTTGGGCCCCAGCCTCGTCACAACTTCGTTTTGATTTGCAAGTATGAACTCCAGCTGCCAGCGGCGACCTTCTTCTTCATGCACGGAAAAGCAATCAATCGTCTGCCACTGCGACTCCTGTGTGGGGCAACAAGAAAAGCAAAGCGCTGCCGAAGCCCTTCTACCAAGCTTGGGCTCACCGCCACAAAAAAGGGAACACGCAATGACGGCGTTGCCGAGCAGCGCTGTCACTGAATGACCAACAAATTGCCACTGAGAAGGGCCATCAGCATCCAGGCCCGGCCTCGTGCACGCTGGCGCTCCTATGATTGAAAATCATTATAAAGTGCAATTATGTTAAATCTACTCTTTAAATACTATTTTTCATGATTTGTTTAATAGTTTCCTGAGCTTCCTTATCACCATTTTGCGAGAGTGATGCATCCTTACCCCATTTAAAAGTTATATTATGGACATCAGTTTCCAGATTTAAACTGTCTTTAGTTTTATCAATATTCATTTTCTTATCATTTTTACTTATTTTGAAAGCAACTGGTACACAACTGCATCTGCAATTTGCCTTCTTTTGTATTTCTAACTCATTTTTCATTTCTAACATCTTTTTACACATTGGACAAGAAAACTCAATTACTGTTGTTTCTTTAACAATTTCTCCGCTATCTTCATCAGTTGAAGAAACACTTAAACCTGTCTTATTCTTTTTGTTTTTCTTCTTTTTTACAATTTATATTACTATTTATATTTTTAATATATTGTATCAAAAACTTAATTAATTCCAAGATAAAATAACATATTTTATTACATCTATTATCAGTTATGACAACCCGTTCTATATTTTCTACTTCATTTATTATATCAATATAATCTGAATAACTCCTATTCATATAACTAATAAGATAAAATAGTTATTTAATCTTATTATTTTCATGCATGATAGAATATTGGGAGGGCTCAGCACTGGAGTTGTCTTTACAATGCATCAAACTAATTGGCTTCAATGCTTATTGATTGAAGCAATGGAAAGCCTGTTCCATTTTATGATATTCGGCACCAATCATATCATAAAACGATGGTCGCGTTAGCACGCGAGGCTCGTTCCTCGCGTCCATTAATATTAAATAGAATATTTATTTAAACTATTTTCTTTAGTCAGTTTTATTGCAGTTAATAGACTAACACCTTTAATATTAATATCAATAACTTCTTCTACACTATTTATCATTTCATTTGTATACATATCGGGATAACCTTTCATAAAATTTACTAACTTTCTAAAATTGAAATCTAGGTTATTGTCATTTTCAATTGATGATTTGGATACTATGATATTGTGTATTTTAATTGTCGATAAAAAGTATAACATCGTATCAAAATATATTTGATTAGTGTCTGGCACTAAGATATCACCAAATTTATATATCCTCCGAATACTAGCCACTTCACTTAAATTAATAGATTCTATTGGCATTATGATATAATTATATTATATATTTTTTTATTTTATAAGTATTTATAATATTTTTTTTATTATGCCTGATGTAAAACCAATTGATGAAATCAAATATGACTTTAAACAAAGTAAGCACGAGGTCGTCCCTAAATTGCCGAGGAGAGCGATGATTGTAGGGCCGTCAGGCTCTGGAAAGAGCACCCTACTTGTATCAATGATACTTGATATTTATAGAGGTGCATTTGAAAGAATTTTTATCTGGTCTCCATCAGTAAATTTGGATAGTAGTTGGTTGCCAGTTAAAAAATACATTAAAGAAGGATTGAAAGTAGATAATGATAAAGAACCGTGTTGGTGGGATGAGTTCAATGTTGAAGGTTTAGAAAGAGTTATAGAAACTCAAAATAAAATAATTGAATACCAGAAAAAACAAGGAACGAAGAAATTATTTAATATTTTGGTAATTTTGGATGATGTATCTGATAATCCAGCAATAACAAGAAATAACAAATTGTTAAATTCATTATTTTGTAGAGGTCGTCATAGTGGAATATCAACACTTGTAAGTCTTCAAAAATCATCAACCGTACCACCAATTATTAGAGTAAATATAAGTCATTTGTGTTATTATAAAGTTAGAAACTTCAAAGAGATAGAAATATTGCAAGATGAATTATCAGCAATTGTTAGAAGCGATAATTTACATGAAAGCAAGAAACTAATTTATAAAATATATGAGACTGCCACTGATGAACCGCATAGTTTTTTATATATTAACCTTTTAGAAAAGAACCCAGATAAAATGTTTATGAAAAGGTTTCTCAATAATTGAAAATTACAAATTAAAAAAATAAATATATATTAATATTATATGATATTTTATGATTTACCAATAGAAATTAAAAACCTTGTATTATCATATAATTTAGGTGATGTTAGATTATTAAAAATAAAAAATAGAAATATTGTGAAAAATATACTCATAAATATAAACCAGTTTATAAGTCTTACACATTAAATAACATACATTATTTTGAAATTGATAATATTAATATTAGTAATGGAATATCATATATTTTTAATTTAAGTGAGTTAGATAAATTACATCAAACAAATAAACCATTAAAAATATTAATTGAATATGAGATACTTGCTACATTTGCTTCATATAAATGTATGAGGCATGTCTGCGATCGCGCTTTAACATCAAATAATTTATTTGATATTTATTATTTTCTTAATAAAGACCTTCATGATCATGCAATTAAACTAAT